TTTGAAAAACATATATATATATATATATATATATATATATATATATATATATATATATATATATATATATTTCATATGATTCAAAACTACAAACTTGAATCGATTCAGCTTGGTAGGTCCAAATCAGACCTACCTTACCTTAAACACCCCTAATTTCATGGTTGTGTGAAGAATAATGTCACAAAGGCAGATTTGGCAATGTTAATGAAATGATGCAACATAACACTTTTTAACATCCTAAGCATGAAAAAAAGACAAGACATATGGCACAACCCATTAGCTAATTAAAATGGAGATGTGTTTCCCAATCTCGAGCAAAGTTGGGGAAATAATTACTCAAGACTTGTCCCAATAAAAAATTTCCCTGTTCATCGACTCGAATCGAATCGGTACCCTCCATATCTTTCTCATACATGTATATGATGCATATAACACAGGCACTTCAAATGTAAGAAAACTCTTTAAATTTCAGGCTGACTGAAGCAGGATATGCAAAATAGAATGGACAGAGAAAAAAAAAAAAACCTTCATAACAGTGAGTAAAAGTTGAGAGCCTTACCTAAAGATAGAAGAACATATTTAACAAGTAACTTGCTTTTCAGGGATAATGACCATGATATCTTTATAAGCTGTTATAGCTAATTTAACAACCAATTAAAGAAGAGAAAAAGTATGTAAATTTTTTGAACTGAATGATCCTATCAAACCCCATCCATGCAAAAACAGCATACATATATCTTTCAACTCACACTTCTTTTTTTATTGTCCTCTAAAAGCTGCAATGATACTGAGAATATATTACTTCAACTTTCTGTGAACAATTATTCATAGTAATACAGGTCAGTAAAATTCATGATATATTCATGAATCCACCGTGTCCTCTATCTATGAGTTAAATCCCATGAATTCTCCTGCTACTCTACACGGGGGAGTAAGTCTGAATGAGCTTTGAAGGACGCTTGATAAAAAAAATGTGGGACTGCAAGGATAAACTACTCAACTTGGCACTCTGATAAATGCTGCAATGGAGAAAAATCAAGAATAGACTGGATTGCTTTATTCTAACAGTGACAAGCATGTTTTACATGACCAAACTCTTAGGTTAATCCTAAGGGCGATCAGAAGGATCAGAAGGAAGTATTGGTTTCTTCTCCACTGCCTCGTAATGCAAAACAAAGTTCTCCTGCAGTCCAACAATTAGCGATAGTAATCAACAATCATAGGAAGTGCTAATAGAACACAGAAACAATTGGATTGTCTCAAACCTTTAGAATTGTTCCCCATGTGTTTGGATCGAAACAGTGGTATGATCCTCTTTCATATGCATGTGTCTTAACAAGAGGCTCCAAATTTGGAACTCTCACGAACCATAACTGATGCTCTTTGTGGTAGAACCATCCACGCGCATATCTGCAAAAGTTTTTGATTAAGACAATTTAAAGACAACTGAAAGCACATCCAGACAAACTTCTGATATAGACCAATAGATAAGTCGCATAGAAAATTACATGAAAAAGAACTGGAGGTCATATTTGTTTCGGAGGAAAGAAAAGCAGGAAACTGCATGAAATTCCATCACTCGGGACCCTACATGACTTGTTTGGTAGCTAAAAGTAAATTACTTTTTCTTCTCTTTTTTCCTCCTGAAGATAAGCACAATAGACTACAGTGCCATATTTTCTTTCCTTCATGAACTGGTGTCAAATTAGTCATCAAACCATAAAGACTGATGTTTGAGGAACAGACTTGCAAGTTTGATTTTGACAATGCTTCTTGACACAAACTCTAAAACCAGTTTAGACAAATATTTATTGGGCTTCCCAAAGAATGACAAAAAACATACACCCACAGAGAGATGAAATGGAGGAGAGAAAGAGAAAGAGTTACAGTTCAGAGGCCGCATAGAGTTGATCTTCATCCTTTGGCATACTGCAAGATGGTGGAAAATACTTTTAAGGAATGACACTCGTGTAGGAAGAACACCCAAAGAAAAAAAAAAGAATGGATTACATACCTATAAAAGATGTAAAACAGGGTTGATAGCTGTAATTTTGACAAATATCCTTGCTACATCCACAATAACAGATTTAGTAAGATCATATACTCAGACGATATATTCATATTAAATTAAAAAAAAAAAAACTTACATGTAGAATTGGTGATGATTTGGCATGATAGCAAGTCGGAATGCAAAATTCAGGCTCCCCCTTGGCAGGCTCATCAGACCACGGAGAACCAAATGTTTTATGAAGATTATCCGAAGAGTTTAAGTTCAAACCCAACGTAGTTAAATCAATTCCCAAAGCAAGAGATGTTAGATCTGGATCATTCATCCTAATAACACTCAACAAACCCTGCAAGCCAAACCGATCAGGAGCTAGCAGTGATCCCTGAACAGACTTTATGCTCTGATCCCTATATGACTGACTAACATCAGATATCTGTTGCAGTCGAAATTGCGATTGACTTTGTGGATGTTGATATTGCTGAATGAGCTGCTCATACGCTCCCAGACCAGAAAGTGGATTTGGAGAGTTTAAGGGTCTCAAGCCAATGCTAGGGGCTCCACTGTTTTGAATCTGCAAAAAGTTGAGAAACAACTCAACTGATAACAGAAATACAATCACTCAAGAACCTAATGATTAAGTTGCCTAGCAGACAAAAGCATCAGAGAGAATTAATATACCTGTGAATGGTAGTTTCCATGAGAGGATGGAAAAAAATCAGAACCATGTAACCGGAGATCTACATTGTTCCCAGGTGTAAAAGGAAGCCCACCACTACTAGCTGCAGTGGCATGCTGCTGCTGTTGCTGTCGGGTAGGTGGGTAAGTTCCTCCTAAGCTAAATCCAGCAGATCTTGCCAGCTAGTTGATGATATAACAACTATTACTGAATAAAGCAATTTTACAACCAAGGACAAGTAGATCAAATAAATTCACCAAGGTCCAACTTACAGGTAGATGTTGTGGCTGCATTGTGGAAATATTTTCATGGAGTTGTTCTTTCTGATGCAAATCCACAGAAAAGTCTGAGCTACTGCCTAAACAGGAATGAAAGATAAATAATTATGAAACAAGAATCTTGGAAGGATACTGTAGTGGTCGATACAACCAATAGTAAGACAGTACAAACTATAGCTAAGATGTCAATGTTGAAAGCAGTTTATCGTACCAGAAAATGTATTATTCATAGTAACACTAGAGAAGTAACAAAATCCTCTGGTTTCTTTCCAGTGCAAAACCAAGAAGATAGGAACCGATGATATTGTCTTAGTGAAGATTGACCAAGTTGGATTATGTCTCATTTTTCTATATTTATTTCTTATATCTATGTTTGTACAATTTCGTTGGGCAAGGGTGTATGTAAGTGAATGCATTTACAATCTGACAATAGAGATTAAAGGAAATTCATGCTCTATTAAAACAGTGGTTTAAAAAGGCGCTCGGGCGCTCGCCTAGGCGCTCGGGCGAGGCGAGGCGAGGCCCGAGCGCCTCGCTAATCTCCCAGGCGGCGCGCTTCAAACAAGCGCCGCTTGGGCGTTCGCCCGAGCCCAAGCGCTGGGCGCTTCGGGCGAGCGCCTGGGTTAACCAAGGCGACCGAACCAGGATTTTAGGTCTGGTTTGGTCCTGGTTCGGTCTCTGATGGTTAGTTGGTTCAATCGAACCAACTAAAATCGATATAAGTGAGAACCCAACCCTAACCCTCGCCGTTGCCGCTGCCGCTCCCGATCCCGATCTCGCTGCTCGCAAACGTTGCCTTTGTCGCCGCTCGCGCCTCCCGCTGCTCGCTGCTCCTACTCCCGTTGCCACTGTCGCTGCTCACAAACGTTGTCTCTGTCGCCGCTCGCGCCTCCCGCTGCTCGCCGCTGTCGCTGCTCACAAACGCTGCCTCTGTCGCCGCTCGCGCCTCCCGCTGCTCGCCGCTCCTGCTCCCGCTCCCGTTGCTCACCGCTGTCGCCACTTGCGCCTCCCGCTGCTCGTCGCTCCTGCTCCTGCTGCCGCTGCTCGCCGCTCACGCCTCCCACTGCTCGCCACTCCTGCTCCCGCTCCCGCTGCTCGCCGCTATCACCGCTGCCTCCTTACACTCCGCTGCCGCTGCCGCTTCCTCTTTTCTCAGTCAGCAGGCTCAGCATCTCCTTACACTTCCTTCTTCTCCTTCTGTTAACAGTATACAATATACTGTGTACTGTTAATATTATTAGGTTTATTTGAAATTATTAATTTTCAATACTGTTAATAGATTTTCTTAATTTAATAGCATATTTTAATTTAAAATTTTAAATAATTATATTTATTAATTATATTATATTTTTATATTTTAGCGCCTCGCGCTTTTTAAATCACTGTATTAAAAACAGAAATATGGCTGACCAATAGTGATTAGACTTATAAAGTAGGTAAGAAGTTGTTTAATAGTGTTTATAACCAAGGAACTCCATTTCATCCTGATCGACATGTACGAACTGATATTTACTGGACTGCCCATTTCTGGGTGATCTGGGTCTAGGCATGAACTATAACATGGACTGCCCTTCCGGGTGGTTTCGGTCCAGTACATGACTTACTGCCTAGTAAGCCTATTAAATAGAGGTTCCTATCTCGTTCCATGGAATGTTATTTCGGTTGGGTGAACTGGTATGCAAACCGCCCTTATTTCGAGTGGTCCAACTCGACCCATTTTAAAAAGTAAAAGAAAAAAACTTACAGTTTCCTGCTTCAATTAGGGCTCATGAATGTGAGTGTCCTTCACCGTACATGGGGAGAGCAGAAACGTGAGCTGCCGCTACCATCCATTCACGAGCCCTCTTCTCTATGCACGGGGCGCACGGAATCACAAGCCGCCGCTGCCATTCGACATTGTCTACCTCCTTGGTATTGTCATTGGCGACTGCCACCATGTGCTGCAGATTGCAGTAAGCTTTATCCTCTTTTCCTCCTCTTCCTCCATTGCTTCCTGTTCTTCCTTCTTCTTTTTCCTCCACCGCCCCCTCTTCTTCCTTCCTATACCTTCCTCTTCCTTCCTCCATGGCCATCTAGTCCTTCCTCTTCTCCTTCTACTTCTTCTTCTTCTTTGAGTAATCAATACTGGTGATCCGTGTGTGCATTGATATGCTTGTACCCACGGGTATGTATATGTTTGACCAGAAACCAATATGGGTCCGAACCTAAAACGATGTTCTTTGTCTAGTTCTTTTCTTATATTTTTTTTATTAGGTTACATTACCCCACCCACCTCTCTCTTCTCTCGCGCTCACTTCTCTCGTGCCAGCCATGACTCTTGCTTGTTGCCTACGCCAATGGCCACCTACCACCTCGCCGGTCCAACTCGTACTCCCCTCCTCACCTCTCCTTTTTTTTTTCTCCTGCTCTTCTCCTCTTCCTCCCCCCTTCTCTTGGTACCATGGTATTAATTTATTTGTTCTCAAAAATTTTTGCACCATGATACCTAAAATGAAAGTGCTTCTCATTCAAAAGCAGTTTCACAAGTACTGGAACTTATAAATGAATAGTCTTGCTATTAAGTAAATAAATATCAAAAGTCTCAAAATGTATGAAAAATCAAATATTGTAAAGGCTCAACAAAGAATCAGACTAAAGAAATAAATTTGCTTCTAAAAAAGCAAAATGCAGGACAAAGCATATAACAAATGCAACAGCTAAGGAAGATATATGAATATACAACTTGTTTCTCAGGAACAACAAAAAAGTCTAGATGAAAAGGAAAAAAAACCTTTTAATCCTGGTAAAGCTGGAAAATCTTCATTTTGTATGCTAAATTCCTGATTTTGTTGGACAATGGAGCTAACACCAACGCCTTGTTTACGTGTTGCACCTAAGAATTCACGAATCAGTTGATGCTCCATTTCACAAAAATTCTGTTAAAACAATAAAGGAAACACGTCTCACTTACATACCCAATTGTCCTTGTGGGCCTCCAGCTGAACTTGGTCGTGCATTTAATTGAGGAAAATCATTCATATCAAAAGGAGAACTGTCGGCAGCATTGACATCATTCAACATTCCCATAGAGCTTAAGGGGTTATTCGCACCTTGGATTTGAGATAGAGGTCCTCCAGATATAGGATAAGAATTCCCAAGCATACCAATCATTTGTGGTGCTGCTAATAGTATAAATAGAACAATCTGTCAGTCAATCTGTTGTATATTTACACAGTTATTTCAGTGAAATAAGTTGATGCATCAATTTTAATGAGTATTTCATAAAATCCAACATCTAGTCTAAAGCACAAATACATGTGAATATACACTCTGGTTCTACAGATAAACACACTATTCGATATTCAAGACAAAATGTTGCATAAATAGAATCATTACCAACCATTACAACAATATGAACTAATAAACCAAAGGTATCTTAGGGATCAATAACTGAACATCAAATTCTGTGGTTTGCAGTAATTTCAATAAATTTTAGTTTCGGGTAAGACTTTGCTGCAGAAGGCTGAATTTCATATTGAAAACTTCTAAAAATGAATTAATAAGCCCAACTTCATGTATAGCTGCCACTATAGTATATATTAAATTTTCAAATGTTTTTGCTATAGAAGTAGACAATACAAGAGGTGCCCTAAGATGAGACTTATAAATCTTGCAAAGCCAGAAATCTGCAAGGAAATATGGAGTGTTACCTTGTTGAAGCATGCCACTGATCAGTCTATTAGATCCTTGTACACTAAGGCTCCCTGATCCACTATTAGCACCCAAGTTTACACGTGAAGATAGTCCAGGAACTGATAATCCTCCAGAGCTAATGCTTCTTCCCATATTACCACCACCAACAATGTTTCCCATGGTGCTTGCAAGTCTAGGGCCTACATTACCCAAAACTGGAGAAACTCCCAAACCAGGAACCGCACTACGATTGCCAGTGGCAGAACTTGAGGAGAGACCAGTTATTGACCCACCAACTCCACTCATGTTACTGCTAAAAGCATGATTTCCAACAACATTGATACCCCCTCTATTTGTGACACCAGAGCCATGAGACATCTGCATGAAAAATGAGAATACGCAGACAAGCTTCAGTTTAACAAAATATAGACGATAAAAGAATATATAGGTCAAAGAGTAATCTTTAATATTTCACTCACTGCAGGAAGCAATATGCACATGGTTAAGCAGATTTTAACAAGATGCAGTGCATTCAAAAGACTTTTCGATGCAGATGAGTAATATGCTTAGACTTCAAATTGTTCTAGACCTGAGACAATGCAACCAAAAGATTGTTGGATGCAAACCGTCCGCTAGGAATGCTTCCCCCTGGTTGTGGAACACCACCTGATGGAACACCACTGATTGCTGCATTTCTTGATACAAGTGAACCCGGCATGTTTGGCAGGTTGAAGCTTCCGTGAATGTTATGCAGCCCTTGAAGACCACCTATTATTGTACAAGTTAGCAGTTAAAAAGATTCTATCTGTTCAAGAAAGTTAACAGTCAGAATCTGCTTACTGGAGTTATGAAATCCAGGGATTGTAGCAGACTGGCTGGAAAATGATGTGGTGTAGGGTCGGCCAGTTGAGTCAGTGAGATTTGATGATGAACCATTAAGTGTCGACTGAAACAAAAATCTCAAGTATTTTAATCAAGAAAAGCAAGGCCAGCATGCGTCCACAATTGTAAAATTATACGGGAGCAAAAAGAACAGTAGTATAGATTAGCCAATTAGCTACATATACAAACTGCCAATAAACATCACAATATATATACAGACACTCATTTTCAATAATTTCCCAATGCATTACCAATGGCATCACAAGTTTTTTTTCCAAAAAAATGCAATGATATTTCCCATAAATGAGGAGTATGCAGTGTAACACAACTCAAATCAAGGGCATGAAAGCTGGAGAAATTTTTATTACAGCAGTTAAATTGATGAGAACCTTTTGAGGTTGATCCAAGTTTCCTAGCCAAGTAAATTTAGTATACAATAAATTCAAATATTAAAACATGAAAGGCTTGTTTCAGATATTAACTTCTATGTTACTGATCACAAGTTAGGTTAACACAACCCCAATGTAAACTCTGAGGTTTCCCTAGATCATGGGCAAATCTAGAAGAAGAGGGTAACCACAATCTGTATCATGAAAATTGATTCTGGTATTGAAGGGCCAAATAAATCAATGAGCCAAGGGAAGATGATCCTTGAGTTAATAGAAAATAACAAATCTTGTAAATGAATTAAAAATAAATCAGCAAATTTTTGAGAATTTCTAGGCTTCAAAAAGTAATCTCATGCACTAGCATGATGTTTCTTTCTCTTCCACAATCTCTTAAACATGATTAAATAAAACATGCACTCAGCTAGTATCACTAAGAAAGATGCAGAATAAGTAACCAAAGGTAAAACTAAAATGGCGGAGTCGAATACAATATACAATAGTCCAAAACCCATAACAAAGACTAGCACGTTCTAAATAATTTACATATATTGCCCATCAAAATCCATTTCTAAATAATGTAGAGTCTGTTATAGGTACTTAGAAAGCACAATATAAACTACATATATCTTGTCTAGAGAAAAGGTCAACACCTAACCTATGCTAATCCGGGAATGGAATTTGATCACAACAAAAAAATGCCATGCACTTCAAAATTTTGACAAGCCACTATGTCACATACAAGCTTCAAGCATTATAAGGATCAAATAATGGGAACTAAAAAAAGAGTTTAGTGACTTACAAAGAATATAAAGCAGTGAAATATTTCATGCAGTTTCATGCATATGTGATAACAGATTTTGGGCCTTTCTGCTTGAAATGACCATGTCTAAGGAACCATATGCAATTACCAAGAAGTTGAGGTTCCCCAAGGTTATGTACATACATCACAAGAACAAGGATATGTACAAAGGTATTAGTCTACATATATCACGCCTCAAAAGCAGGTCATCAGGAAAAAAAGTCTGCAATTCATTTGACTGAAAAAAAAGAGAGGACTTGACAAAACCATCAGAACAAGACAAAACTGAATCCAAGCAGTGGAACATAGCAGTAGCTATGTTTAAGGAAAGCATGGAAATGTCAAACACCACGTGGCACACAATGGATGAACTGGAAAGATGAAAAATCAACTTTATTCAGATCATAGTACAGCAGTATATATTGGTTATGGGGCAGCAGACATCGAATCCATTGTGAGTTCCAAAAATTAGATGGCACCATTACATGAGTGACAATGCCAACAGGAAAGGTTGACATCATAGATCTCTTTAAACGGTAAATCCAACTGGACAAGTATCTGTTAACATAGCTAAAGGCATCATCACAATCATGACAAACTGAAAACAACAAGCTAAAGTAGTTATATAAGAACTAGTACTTCATTAACTTTGAATGATCAGAATGTGATTGATAAGATCGACAAAGCTAAATGAAAATATTAATACATCCTACAATTAATTATTCATCAGGGGTATAATTACTATAACAGAAAGAAGAGACACCCAACAAATTCATATACCAAGTCTAAAGGCCTCATGTTTTTCCTTCTGCGTCCATGCAAATAAAATTATAATGCAAGTAACATATTTTGTGAAAGCCAAAAAAGGCAGGCAGGAATTACATTTAACAGCCCAGACATTATAGTTTTGTGATAAGTGTTCAAGGAGGATTCAATTCCAGACGTAGTGCTCATTCATTATGCTGAGCAGTGACTAAAAAGTATCCAGATTTCTAATTGTTGGCTGCTATCTTTGTCCTGAGCTGAAAAGATAAAGCAAATTTTAGTTAGGAAATTAGACAGGAACCATATGAAGCAATTTGAACTTGCAACAACTAAGTATTAATGGGAAAATTAGGCATCTCAAGTAATTACAATTGAAATGTAATGGGGATTTGCAACCTCAAAAGACAACTTTTATCAGCAGATTATAACTCAGTCAACACCTAATAAAAAATGATTCACCCTCCTAATTTTTATCCTGAGAAGTATAAATGAAGAATGCAAGAAAGACTAGTTGTTTTAAACAAAGTTTCACCATTAAGACCAACATATTTATACAACTACAGTGACCATCTGACACACTAAAAAGACTACAAACTTAAGGTCTGCCACGAATAGTTTTAAGACTTCTCTCAAAGTATCTGCATTTTCACATTCCATAAATACCACCTCCACGTTTATACTTCCCTCAGAAAGTTTAAGCTGCATTTTGCCAGGTGCCTCTAAAAAAAAATATATGTTTTGAACAACCATAGCAAGACTTGGCTACAACCCAGAAAGATGGACATACACCAAGTAATAATAAGAGGCTAAGATTCATCACCGATCCCATACAAACAATGAAAAAATAATAAAATTCAAATGTTGCTCCAGGGTCCATGAAATCAACAAGCAATGTAAAGATTCGAAGATTTCATCTTTCAGCGCAAGGAAGAATAGGTTCCAATCACCTACTCAAAATACACTACTGCTGTTTAACTTTGCTTGCTTAGAATATACTCGTATTTCACGAACACCAAGAGATTGAAAAGTCTGGTTCGACAAACTAAGCCTTCAGGACTCACCAAACCAAACGACTAAAAGAGAAAAAACCCGACCTTGGTAGCTTCTATATTTCGCAAATGGGCAAAAGCACACAAGTCATGGTCGATCTAAGGGCAATCTTCTACTTTGCGGAACAACGCAGGAATGATTTAACACCCCCTTGGGATCGAAACCCTAAAGCGAGATCAATCCATCAGAAGAACATCTATTCGCGACAAGGGGACAAAGATCGAGACGCACATGGAGATGAAAAAATCAGTACCCCACGAATTCAAGGAGAGGAATGAGCTTTCCGACGCCAGAGAAGAAGAAGAGGTGGGAGTGAGGCCTCCAATCCGCGACACAGAAATGGGGGGGAGTGTACCTTTTATTAATAAAGGTAAAGAAAAGAGAGGTAAAGGCGGAAAAAAAACCGTCACGGGATCCGTCCGACCCAGATTTCCGGTTCACCGCCGGTCCATTGCGGCGGACTCCAAGTCTTATTTACGCGAGAAGGCAGGAATAGAGTGGCCTTGACAATTGAACCGTACGAAATCGAACCGTGCGAAGCGGATGCTCTGGCGGTCCGGTTCAAGATCACTGATAGCATTCCTGGTGCTGTCGGAACCAACTCATGATGATCGTGTCTTTAGCCTTCGTGTTTGGGTTTAGAATATTGCAATTTTTGGATAATAACAAATGATGATTGTGATGATAATGACGAGTGGCTGTCAATAATTTAGTAAGGAAGGATGCGAAACAAGCCATAATAACCTTCCATAATCCATAATAATCATTAAGGTGGTGTGTCCATTGATATCGTGGATTTAGCCACATGGACACGACCCTCAACCATGTTAGCGCAAGCGTCAAATCTCGGGAGGATGACTAGTGCCACGTCAGATGTGCCACCAGAAATTCGGGACGATCGTCGCTCCTCTCTCGCGTCGTATGAGGCCGCATGAATCGACATCGTCCCGACAAGGAATGTACTGCATGGCGCCAGTTTGCACATGCCAGGCGTCGATCGTCCGGGAGTCGGTCGCCATGCGAAGATTGCGTACGATCGACCCTCAGGCACCAAAATAAAAGCCCCTGCCAACATTTGACAGGGGTAGAGGATCTTTGACAAAGAATTCCATTAATTTAATCTTTGGAGAGGTCTAAGTCGGGATTCCCCTCTCCATCCCAACCTATGTTAGTGTGCAGGAATCCGACGATGAGAAAGGCGAACGAGTTCACTAAAGAAGCGCATCTCGACGGATCTTGACTAGCGAAGATCTCATCCCTAGGATGATCTTGGACATCGCCAATTGGACTAAGCCATGTAGACTCCTAAGAACCACGACATAATAAGGTTCACCAACATCCATTATAATAATCATTACAATCTTTTATGATAATTTGGATCTTTTTCTTGAAATAAAAGGTAACATAATCGATGATTTTTCTTATTTTATTTTATATTTATTTATTATATATATTTCTATATTCAGATTATTCACATTAGATATATATATATATATATATATACATATATAATAAAAATTTCTATATTTATTTTTTTTTATATGGTGGTTTTAAGGGTAATCTAATTAATTGACATGAGATTAACTTGACAAACATTGATAATGAATAACAATTATATATATAAAATTTATTATTATTTTTCAAAAAATAAATGATGGAGACAGGATTGAGATGTTAAATCCTTTACTAGCTAAACTAGTCAACACTTTTAAGTAATATGTCAACTGAGATTTTCAACATTCAACTTTTGCTATATGAATATGATATATCAATATTTTATGAATAAAAATATGTAGATAAGATTTTTTAATATTTGATTGAAAAATATATATGGGATGACCAATAGGTTCATAAGATGTATCTCTATGGAGACATTTAAGTTGATTAGTTAATTATTACAAGTCTATGCTTCATGTGTATAGGCCACATCACCTCTGTAAACTTGGAGGGGTGAGTCGACACACCTCCTGGCTTTTCGTATTCCAACTCAGATGGCGTTTACCGGTTCATGATATGACATCTGCACACGAGAGAACACCGGAATCGGAAAACTGGTTGTGCTCCAAACATCCGACAGAACGCACGCAAAAGCCTCCCTTCTCGCTTCTCCTTCCGTCGAACAAGAACAGTTCAAGCGGCAGCACGCGAAGCCCGGAGAAATGAGCGAAGAAGAGGACGCCTCCTCCATCCATCCATCTATCCATTTCCCTTATAAATATGGCCTCCCGGCGGATCCAAAACCCAAGCACCAAGCTCCACCAACCCCTCCCCATCTTCCTCCCACCCTCCCCCTCCGGCCTTCTCCTCCTCTTCCATCCTCTCTCCATATGAATTTATAGAGGTTTCAGAGAGAGGTAGGGAGATCGAGCAAAAAGTTGGTTTATTGTCGGGGAGAGAGAGAGAGAGAGAGAGAGAGGGGTCTGGAGATCGCCCGATAAGCTGCAGAGTAGGGAGAAGAAGATGTCGCGCATGGCGCTGTTGGCGTTGCTCTCGACCCTTCTCGCCCTGTCGGCGGTGCGCGCCGAGGACCCCTACCTCTTCTTTACGTGGAACGTCACCTACGGCACCATCGCCCCTCTCGGCGTCGCTCAGCAGGCCATCCTCATAAATGGGCAGTTCCCCGGACCCAACATCAACTCCACCACCAACAACAACATCGTCCTCAACGTCTTCAACAATCTCGATGAGCCCTTCCTGTTTACATGGTTCCTTCTCTCTCCTGCTTGAGCTTGACACCGACATTAATGAGGGATCCGCTAAGGCTTTTTCTGTGTTGTTCCCGGCAGGAACGGAATCCAGCAGAGGAAGAACTCATGGCAGGATGGCATGCCGGGAACCAACTGCCCCATCCCTCCCGGCACGAACTACACCTATCATTTCCAGGTTAAGGACCAGATCGGGAGCTTCTTCTACTTCCCCTCCCTCGGCATGCACAGGGCCGCCGGGGGCTTCGGCGGCCTCCGTATCAACAGCCGCCTCCTCATCCCCGTGCCATTTGACGACCCTGCTGACGATTACACCGTCCTCATCGGTGACTGGTACACCAAGAGCCACAAGGTCCTCGCCGGGATTCTCGACGCCGGCCGCAGCATCGGCAACCCCGCCGGCGTCCTCATGAACGGGCTCTCCGGTAAGGACGCCACCGGCAAGGACGACCCGCCGCTCTTCACCATGGAAGCCGGGAAGACGTACCGCTACCGGATCTGCAACGTCGGCTTGAAGTTGTCGCTCAACTTCCGGATTCAGGGCCACCTGATGAAGCTGGTGGAGATGGACGGGTCGCACACCGTGCAGAACGACTACGAGTCCCTCGACGTCCACGTCGGGCAATGTCTCTCCGTGCTCGTCACGGCCAACCAGGAGCCCAAGGACTACTACATGGTCGCCTCCACACGATTCACCAAGTACATGCGGACCGCGACCGGCGTCGTCCGTTACGCCGGCTCCAAAGTTCCACCATCGCCCGAGCTGCCGGCGGGGCCCGTCGGCTGGGCCTGGTCGCTCAACCAGTGGAGGTCGCTCCGGTGGAACCTCACCGCCAGCGCCGCCCGGCCCAACCCCCAGGGCTCCTACCACTACGGCAGCATCAACATCACCCGGACCATCAAGCTCGCCAGTTCCGTCGGTCTCGTCAACGGCAAGCGCCGCTTCGGGCTCAATGGCGTGTCGCATGTGGACTCCCCCACCCCGCTCAAGCTCGCCGAGTACTACGGCATCTCCGACAAGGTGTTCAAGTACGACAGCATCGGTGACGAGCCACCGGCGTCCGGCGCCAGCATCACGGTCGCTCCCAACGTCCTGAACGCCACCTACAGGGACTACATCGAGATCATCCTGGAGAATCCCGAGAGGAGCATTCAGTGCTACCATTTGGACGGCTACTCCTTCTTCGCCGCCGGGTAATCTAACCGCACTGCGGGCTTTTCGACTTTTCGAGGTGCAAGCATGAGTGTCCATGGCGGATGAACGTGGTGTTTTGACGTGTTGGTTGCAGGATGGGACACGGGAAGTGGACGCCGGCGAGCCGGAGGACCTACAATCTTCTGGACGCGGTGAGCCGGCACACGATACAGGTGTACCCGAGGTCGTGGTCAGCGATCATGCTGACGTTCGACAACGCGGGGATGTGGAGCCTGCGGTCGGAGCTGTGGGAGCGGCATTACCTGGGGCAGCAGCTCTACATCAGCGTGGTGTCGCCGGCGAGGTCCCTGCGGGATGAATACAACATGCCCGACAACACGCTGCTCTGCGGCGACGTCGTCGGCCTCCCGAAGCCACCGTCCTACGTCTAAAGCGAACGCGAGGCCGGCGGGGATAAGCCTTCCTTCCTCTTCGTCTGTGGACAGGGACAACACATATGATCGTAATGGTGTTTGTACTAATCGAGAGGGAGGGAAGGGGGAAAGATCCGAGAGACTAATTTGCCTGTTCTTTTGTGACATTTTCTTCTCTCGATTGGCTTGGTTCTTCTAATACTATAACAACGCTTGCTCGATCTTACTGAATTGACTGGCGTTTTGTGATGCTCTCTCTGCACTCGATTCCCCGAATCTTCTTCTATTGCTGTATCACGACTTCCCTCTATGTTACGTGTTCCCCCTCATCTTCTACATATAAAGAAAGGATAAGAAAGAAGAAACAAGACGTTCCCAACCATTGATGAATAGACATTATATGGAAGAAAAAACAGTAGAGAAGGTTCATGACCAGCTCATACGAATGACAAGAATATGGTGAAGTCGAATCTGCACATCTGCTAATGACAAGAACAATAAAGTGGAACAAAAATTTTCCGTATACACTTGTTTGAGAAGGCAACAAAAACAAGGACTGATAGTAGAGAAGGAAAAGAATCTGCACTGCTCTACAATCCAAGAGGATACCAGTCTAATTCAAGTTGTCAAACCAAACGTAGCAGAAAGATGAGCGACAAAGCTAACCTCCATACTCGAATCATCTTCTGTAATCTTATGTTCTATCAAGATCTTTTCTCCAGTTCAGCAACTGCAAATTGAATGGCGAGCATCAGACGAACAAGTTTCGGGATCTTCAGCTCATCCGGCGACAGCTCAACGACGAGCTCTCTTCTGAAACCTAACATTGTGTTATATCCCATCCATTCAGTGTGTTGAGAAAAATTCCACGGGTATCAAATGACAGAAAACGTATCCAGCGAACTGTCCTGTCCCGGACGTACCAAAACTTCATATAGACGATGCTCTCGACAGCTATGGATTTACATTGCATTCATCCATGAACTTCTCATCCTGCGTAAGAAATTTCCTCCAGTATATTTTGTATTTCGGAACACCAAGATCAAGCCAAGGTTTCATGTTGCCATTGTAGTGCAACGATACAGCACTCTTCATAGAATCTGCATTGACACCATAGTTGTGACCAAGCCCTGGTAAAGACCACCTTTCGCCGAGGGGATATATGAGATTCCTAAATGCGAGTAAGCTTGCTGGCAGGGCTGCAGCTCTAAGAGACACCTCATTCTTTGTCTGCTGGAACTGTAATGGACAGTGCATTTTGTTAGCTGTTAGTCTGGCAAATTGGTTCACTGAATGTATAAATCATCCACTAAATGATAAGAAAACAAGTTATTTGTAAACAGAATTACATAGGTTTCTGAGAGGAATCCAAAATGTATTTAGGTGAAATGATACAATCAGCAAATCAGGTGATAAAAGTGAAAAATAACACAATCGATGCAAGTACTTGTAAACCGATACGATCATGACCGCCTCAGATTGTGTGAAGAACATTCTATCCTGCTTTTGTCATTTCAAATGCATAAAGCATATCAAACATCAACCAAATACTAAACTTTAGATACAAAAAAAAGAACTTCTGGATTTACGTCCTTAAACGGGATGGAATGGTAAAAGAAAAACTCAATACAGATGAAAAGGCAGATTAAAGGCTGTATCACTTACGCTTTGGAGGAGTTGAAAGTATGTCCCTGTAACATTATGCTCCCTCCACTTCTTCAAGTCAATAATATTCAGTCCTGACATCCAAACACAAGATTTTGTGTCATAGCTGTTTCTGCCCAGAAATTTTTTGAGTTGACCCAGCCTCAATCCACAGAACTCAACAGCACCATTAACTTTTCCTTCCAAGTTAAGGTCCCATAGTGGTGATAAATCACGCTGAACAACCACATCATCATCCAAAACCACCACCTTCTTCAGATTCTTGAACATATCTGGAAGAAGAAAGTGAGAGTGACCAAAAACTGCCATGTATTCTGTACTCATATGTGCAGCTAATTGATCAGTTTTATGAACAGAAACACGGAATTCCTCAGACATTGATAGCTTTTCCAGGCCAGTTATATGAAGGTATTTCAGATTAAGTTCTTCAAAATTGATGACAAGAATGGTTGCCGCTTTGTAAGAATTTCTGTCAAACCAGATCTTCATCGCATAATAATTTTGTGCATCCGTTACAACATTAAAGACCATATTTTGATTGACCTATTGCAACATCAACAGAAAAGTCATAAGAGCTAGAACATCAAGTAGCTTATATAGTATTTTCCCCTGCTATGAAGATAAGTTGTACGCACCTCAGAGTTCATTATTGTTGAATTGATAGTAACTGCAGCTGCAATAATATTTTTAGAGAAAATAACAAAATGCATCAATTTTGGGCTGTCAAGTCTATTATGATGGGACTTCTTGGTATCCATCGAAAGCGATTTAAAGAACTCTACTGTCAATCTCATGGACAAGCAATGAAGACTTTTGGGCATGGTCTGAACACTAAGGTGATAGAGGAATGCGCTTTGTTTCATATGAAAAGTAGCTTCATCCTCGGTAAGATCCAATATTTGCCTTAGTTTCTTGTCAATATTGTTGCAATTTACAGTGCACCCTTTAGCTCTTGCAATTGTCTGCTCCATCTTCTGTATCTTGTTTTCCACACTGAAAGAGAAGACAAGCTGCTATTAATTCTCTAAGGAATCAGTAGCAAGTTAAAGAAGATCATAGATGCTATTTGTAGCATCCTTGAAACTATTATGCTTGCAGGGCTAGAGCTGCAATGCCAATTCATTGAGAATAACAGATTACCTGCAGATCTTTTGTCCACAGATCCCATATTCAGTTAATAGAAGCAAATTCTAATACTACATTTTTACTGTCTAGATCAATAAAAGATCCACCTAAAAGCAACAACAACAATTTTAATGAATTCAAATTCTGACATTGTTCTTTCATCTTTGCTACGATTTTTTTTTTCTACAGCATGAAACCATAACATCCACCTATCTGGGGGGTCTTTTCTATAATTCCACTAAGACCAGCCCAATAGCAGATACTACTTAAAAGTGATTTCATGTGCAAAGGGACACTAGCGATAATAAGGGTAGATGTGAACTCACTATTTAGAGACTAGTTAAGGGTAAAAAGATAATCCTAACAAGAGGATTCAACTCATGCTTTCAAAGCTATTATATTTCATCTTTTTGAGACGAATTAGGCTTTTTCCAACGAGCAAACAAGAGGAAATTTGAATAAACCTGGTCAAAGTTCGACAACTAGGAAATATGTTTCCCCAAAATTCCATTCAATTTATTGAGGTGGTAACATATTAAAGCTGGTCCCTGAATATATTTAAAGCTAACTCACACAAAGCACATGCAGCGATTCATATTATGGCTAAATATAAAAACTAATATTTATGGTGATGGAAAGCTGAGATCGATACTGAAGAGATATTAAGAGAAGACCATGCTTGCCACAATCAGTTTGAGCATGCCTTGCCAGACACATGAAAACAGGGTCAATGGCAAGCAGACGAGTCCTTGAGTCAGACATAATTGAGAACTTGGATTCATTATATCTTTTTTAATATCAACATATGGTAAATACAAACACAGAAATTTGAAAGTTATATGGAAAATCTAAAGAGCATATGCAAAATTTAACAAATAAAAAGGTTAAAACATCAACACATTACCAAAAACACTTACAATTTTGGAAGGTCAGCATCCACAGTGACTACACTAAGCATGCGTTCATGATCTTGTATATTCTGCTTTAGATCACGTGATAACTTTTGTTGTCCATGAAGTTTTGCAATGCTTGGATAGTAAGCTCTAGCAACAAAAAGCTGATCTTTGAGTTTCTTCACAGCAGAATCCTTCAACACTGCTTTATGCTCTATGGACCATAGACAATAGCTCCCGAATTCAAGCTGACAATATTTCCTGGTTTCCTCACGACATCCACCTTCAGCATCACTCTTCTTGTCATCCCAGGTACCATGCTGAGGGGAGAATCTGAGTCATACAGAAAGCACCAGAATGCAAAATAATGGACAAGATAAATGGTTGCTTGTTTAGATTGATTTTAGTGAAATAGCATGTCATTAAACTCTCGTAGTGCCAGTTAATTTATAATATATGCGAAGAATTTAATTTACTGATATTGCGAAAGAGAGACTTCAGTAGATAGATGAAACGTATGTGCCATCATAAGTATCGTAAACCTCATTTCAGTTTCTCAGAATAATGCAATTAACTCATGTGAACATAATGAGTTGTTTTCTCAACTAACCTTTGTACGCAAATTTAAAAGTGATTCTGATGGAACTGCTCGTGGTACAGGCAGAACTGCAGAAAATAAATATTTTGGATTAGTCAATAGCCTTAGAATAATAAATAGGCGCAAGAAAAGCAAAGCATAAAGTAAAAAAACATAAAATTTCCTGATGAACTATTACACAACTAGTGTACATGGAACAACCAATACGTTAGAGTTTAGGCCAATAAATCACTGTCTTATAAATTTGCATGACCAAGAAACAGAAAACTCTTGTTTCAGCTGGCACATTTGTCTACAATTATTGCCTGATCCATACAAAAGATCATAAATATTTAGCATAGTTAAAGAGTCTCTTGTTACTGGATCTGTTCTCTTGCAGCAACCATCCTTAAGTTTCAATCATATATCTTAAGAAAAAAGATCGGTAACCACCTGCCCAAGGTGCACTTGCCCATTCAAATCCTCAAAAAAATACCTCAAGGGTTCAGATAAGTTTTGCAGTTCTTATTCATCAAATTCAAAATTCCTAAATTTCTACTTACATTGCCTTCTGAATATGTCTAAAGCAACTTCACAAGAAAAGCCTACAATTCTTAAGAAAAAAGATTGCCAACCACCTGCCCAAGGTGCACTTCTACACTCAAATTCTCAAAACAATACCTCAAGGGTTCAAATAAGTTTTGTAGTTTTTATGCACCAAATTCTAAATTTTTATTTATACTACCTCGGTACCTCCTGAAAATGACTAAGGCAACTTCACAAAGAAAACCCTGCGGTATTTAATGCTGCATACCTTTTGGGTGCGAAATGATGACTTCTTGTTTATAGTAGGTAATAGTGTTCTGTAGTTCAGAGGGAGAAGTCATGTCCATTGCTTGTGAGTTGGAACTAAAATCCTTCCCTGCCACAATCAGTTTCTCAGTGGTGCTTATGACAGGTTTCTTGTTCAAGAGGTCACCAGTTTTGGAGATGTGGTTCCCAGTAACATCCTGACAAAAACAGAGACATAGCTGCTTTTAAGAAAAATCCAATGAGCCCAAATATTAATGATATCAAAAATATCGATTCGTATCAAGGACTCGAAAGATTCTAGTAGCACGCAGCTGCAATTCATCTTACAGATTACGCAGATGGCTAAGATGACTCAATAAATTGCAGATTAGATAACCGAGAACACCTAGATAAAACTTTAAAGGGCTTTTGTTCAAGTAGAATAATGGGAAGCAAGCATAATGAGAAGCCAAAACAGGAGTTTAACCTACACTATCCCATCAGCATGAGAAATGATGAATTTTCAAGAGAATACAAAATGATCACTATCAGAAGTAAATATAGAAGCACATTAACAGTATACAACTGTGTTTTATCGACTCTGGCTCACAAAATCAAGATAAGACATCGGGAGTCCTTAATAATTAGGTTCATGAATTGAAAGCAATAAAATATGATCAAGATTAGGTTCAAAGCAATAAAATATGACCCAATCAACTTTCCAATCGAAAGACTGTCCAGGAATCTGCAACATCAGGAACAGAGTATGGTTCAATGGTGTCTGAGATCTTTCTGGACCCGTAACTCTGGGCCAATTTCACAGAACAAAAAAAATATGTTGGCCTGCCACACAGGTAGTTAACAAATGAAGCGCATGCATTACAACAACTGCTCAACATTTGTTTCGGAAGATAGATGATTAAGTTACGAATGTCACCATTAATGCTTAGTTCTAAGCTCAAGCTTGAAAAAAGAAAAAGTACATTAAGGCCTAACAGTTAGCAGTTGAATCTTGCATTATCAAGTTCATCAGATATAGAACTTCCCACTGAAAAAGGAAAACCACCACGCCAGTGGTTTATAAACATTTCTAGAAAGCCAAAAGCAACCTTTGAGAACATGGGTCCAAATCTTTTGACGCGATTCTCGATCCTTGACCCATCACCCTGATACAAGTTGAACAGAAACAAGTTGAAGAAAGTATAGTGGTATGTCTCTACCAAGTGAAGTAGTAAAATGGTGAGAGATCAATTAACCTTGGAAGAAGAAGTACCAACACCATCCAGATGACCAAATTTCGGAAAGCTAGTTTCCTGTGTGGTCAATGACAATTACAAACATTCACCATTTGCCGAACGATAACCATCAACCTGATAATAATCGAGTCTTTTATATTCCGGAGAGAAGCTTACCGAAGGCAGGCGATCATAACCTGCACAAAGTAACAAAAAGCGACAGAGATGAAAAAGCTGCAATGGCATTACAATAGTAATAGTACCAAAAACGGTCGACGTGCAGTTCAATCGCCATCCAACTTAATTCCCCAATTCGATAAACCAAAACCGTAAAATCCTTTCCCATCGCGAACCAAATCCACCAACAAAGACAAAGATCCAAGCGCCACAGCCCCAATGCAGATCAATCGACCCTCTCCCGCCACTCCACCGCGACAACACAACGGCGCGGCATCCCGCGAAGAGTCTTAGGGTCCGAAGATGGCAGGAGAGAGAGAGAGAGAGAGAGAAGAAAGGAGTGAAGTGGGCGACTCACCAGAGGGGAAGCGGTTGTGGAGGCCGAGGAGGAAGGCGAGTGGAACGAGGAGAGAGAATAAGACGAGGACGAGCACCGCCGAGGCGGGCGCGCGCCACCGTCGCTTCACCGACGGAATGGTGGAGACGGCCACGAAGCCTTTCATCGCCTCCTCCTCCGCCGCCGCTGCCCCTTTGTTCCTCTTCTTCTTCTTCTACTTGTTGTTGTTGTTGTTGTTCTTCTTCTTCTGCTCCTCCCGTCCTCCCTCTCCCTCACGCTCTTCAACTACTTGTCGACGAAGTATGTTTCTGATGATGCACTTCGATTTCGCCAACGAAAGGCAAAGCAAAAGGTCGGAAGACAAGGACAGAAAACAGCGGTAGAGTGTGGAGCGGGGCCGGCGTGACTTACTTAGCACCCTCCCTGTATTTATTATGTATCTTCATTTTGACTATTTTAGTGGAGAAAATAAAATAGTAAGGCCTTTCTTTTATCATCCTTCCCTCGTCACATCAACCCAACCCCTCACTGTACAGGGACAAGAAAGTACAGCCAGCCGACGACGGAAACGTAGAACGTGGTGGTGGGGAAGCAGAAAGCCATGCAGAAGATAATGATTGTGTCCTAAATTAAATTACGTTCGCTGGGTGTAGGAATCGCGCGGGTACGGCGGTGGGAGAGAGCAGTAATCATGGAAAGGAAGGAAAGCAGTCTGCTTCCCTCGGTGGGATTTCTTTTCTCAAAGCAGAGTGCTTTGTTGTCGCAGCAACAGATGCTGCTGCGTGTCTCAATCCCACTTTGTGACAATTTTCCAGTACGATTCTGTGCACCGTCCTCGTCGTCAGAATTCTCTGCTTCTGAGATGACGACGACATGTCATGCTCTCTTTTGAGTGTTCCTTCCGAGTCACTAGCCGTTGGAGCTCGCCGTCGCGATCCCAGCGCCAGAGGTGTTGGATTTGTCGGGGTCGGTGGAGCGCTCGACGCATAAATCCATGCGACTGCAATCCCTGCGCCGGAGGTGTCGGATTTCTTGGGGTCGGTGGAGATACTCGACGCGTAAATCCATGCGACTGAAAGGTGGCGAAGTTGATCCGAGTCAGGCACGTTGGACGGTGATCGGAGGAGCGTCTGATAAGATAAACCAACCAAATTAAGCTGAAGCTAAGTGAGACAGACATCTTGTACTGTCCATGAATAACTTCGGTGAGTTATTATGTTTTTCTTTTTTTTTAAGATTTAAAGTATTATTAATTAAAAAAAATAGGATTTTTTTTAAAATAAATTAATTATATAAAATTTTAGAGATAAAAGAATCCTGTTTAAACTATTATTCTATACTAAAGTGTTTTTCGTTATAAGAAGTTCAATGTAATTTTTTTATATTTTCACTATGATTTCTTCTTTTTTTTATTTTCACTATGATTTCTTATTTTTCTTTTTATTTCTTTATATGGTATCAAAGCCATAATTATGGTAATTTGTATTTTAAAATATTTTTAGTGAAGATAATAAATTTTTTTTTTTACTATAGATTATGATAGTCGAGTTGAAGACATGAAAGACTTGTTTAGAGTTCTATCCATAAAGATCTATGAGATGTGGTTGGTGTAAATGCAACAATAACATTAGATGTTGTAAATGGAGATGAAAGACATTAAATATTAGACGTAAATTTGTGTTAAAGAGATCTATTTCTCGTTATCCATTTGAACACATTATTGGTTGTAATTTCTTAATACTTTTTGAAGATAAAAAATTTGTATTAAGAGATATCACTATCTAAATAAGCATATTTCTGATGTACGAATGAAACATTATATTATTTATGATCTTTAAAAATAATATATTTCTTATATTACATCTATTCAATGATGGATTCAACAATCATCCTTATCCTTAGTGGAGTTAAAAAATATATTTTCCCTAAACCAATTGTTGATCTTCACTAAACCGATAAACATTCTAAGTGATATATAATCTTTAGTGATATATATTCTTTTTCACTTTAAATGATATATAATCTTCATTAAACCATCCTTAGTGATATATAATCTTTTTTCCGTAAACCAAGTGAAAAAGAATATCATTTTCTTCACACTTTTAAAAGTAAGGGTGAATCGGCTGCGAGTGAAAGAGAAATGACCCAAGCGAGTGGGTCCACCGTAAGAAAACCAAAGAAATCAATTTGTGTTTCTAAATTATAGTAGAAACACAATAAAAACTGATGCGGAAATGAAATAGCGTACCTCCAGCCATTATTGTCAAAAATTTCTACAGAGGTTTCTTCTAAAACTTTGGCACTTCTCGGCTCATAACTCTCACTTTAGATGGTGTAGGAAAGCCTTTTTGCTTCAAAGAGATGATTGAGCATAGGGACCAAAATCCTGATATATATAGATGTTCTCTCATCAAAAACATTTATCATCACCAATTCATAACGTTCAAGAATTAATTCAAATTTGTAACGTTTGGACCATAACGAAGAATTTTAATGATATTAAATATTTAATTTAATAATAACAGTTTCATGTATAATGAATAAAAAACTGAAATCATTTAAACCATAATAATTAAAAAAAATTCATGATAATGAATTATGAATCTTAATGAGAACAATTATATTATTATTAAATAAGATATTTAATAATAACGGTTACATTCTCCCACTTGGTCCATACGTTTAGCTTAATAATTTGAATTAATCTTTCTCGAACAACTTTCTTAAGAAATAAATACATGAATCATAGCAATAAGTCCTCTAAGAGCGAGTATTATCATCCATGTATCACGATGTATTTAGTTTCTTAATCTTAATGTGGTAATATTACTTAATGAATAAACCTTATGTTTATTCTTGGTCCAGTAACAATATATTTTCTCAAAATAATATGCACATGAATGAAAAAATTTCACAATATATAAGAGGTTCAATATCATTACAAAGTGGAACCAAGTCCCATTTTCTCTACATGATCCTTGAATTTCGGTGGCATGTCTTTAGTTAAAGGATCAACAATCATCAATCCAGTGCTAATATGCTCAATGACCACTTTCTTTTCCTTTACACGTTCTCTTATGGCTAAATACTTAATGTCGATGTGCTTACTTCGATTTTCACTTTTATTATTTTTAGCCATAAAGACAACAGTTGAATTATCACATAAAATTCTTAATGGCCTAGAAATAGAATCCATGATTCTAAGCCCAAAAATGAAACTCTTAAGCCATACACCATGTGAAGTAGCCTTAAAACAGGAGACAAACTCAGTTTCCATGGTAGAAGTAGCAGTCAAGGTCTACTTAGTGCTTCTCTAAGAAATAGCTCCACCGGCCATCATAAAAATATATCCTGATGTTGATTTACGAGAATCAACACAACCAGCGAAGTCTGAATCTGAGTAACCAATCACATCAATATTGTCTGTATGTCTATATATAAGCATGTAATCTTTGGTTCCTTGTAGATACCTCATCACTTTCTTTGCAGCTCTCCAATGGTCCATACTTGGATTACTCTGATATCGACCTAGCATCCCCATAATAAATGCAATATCAGGTCTAGTACAGACCTGAGCATATACATAAGGCTTCCTACGACAGAAGCATATGGGATGTTTTTCATTGATTCCCTTTCAAAGTTATTTTTTGGGCATTGGTTCAAATTGAACCTATCACCTTTCACAATGGGAGCAATACTTGATGAACAATCCTTTATCCGAAATCTTTCTAAAAGTTTATCGATATAGGTTTCTTGTGATAGACCTAAAATACCTTGAGGTCTATCTCTATGGATCTTAATGCCAATGACATAAGATGCTTCACCCCTTCATGTCAAAATTTTTAGAAAGGAATTGTTTCACCTAATGCAGCAAACCCTTATCGTTGGTTGCAAGCAAAATATCATCTACGTATAAAACAAGGAAACATATTTTACTCCCACTAATCTTCTGGTATATGCATTGATCCATGAGATTTTCAACAAATCTGAATGAAGAAATCACTTCATGAAATTTAAAATACCATTGGCGGGAGGCTTGTTTTAATCCATAGACTTCCTAAGCTTGTAAACCAAGTGTTCACCAACACTAGAAGAGAAACCTTCATGTTGTTTCATATAAACCTCTTCCTCTAGATCTCTATTAAGAAATATCATTTTCATATCCATTTATTACAATTCAAGGTCAAAATGAGCAATTAATGCTAAAATTATACGTAGAGAATCTTTCTTAGATACAGGAGAAAACGTCTCTGTATAATCAATTCCCTTCTTTTGAGTAAATCCCTTTGCAACAAGTCTTGCCTTGTACCTCTCAATGTTGCCTAATGAATCTTTCTTAGTTTTAAAGACCCATTTGCAACCAATAGCCTTTGCTTCATTAGACAACTCTATAAGATCCCAGACTCCATTGCTCATCATGGAATTCATCTCTTCTTTCATGGCATCATACCATAAATTTGATTCTTTGCAACTCATGGCTTGTGAAAATGTTTCAGGATCATTTTTGGCTCCAATATTATAATAAGATTCTTGTAGATATACAACATAATCACTAGGAATTGCTGATCTTTTATTTCTAGTAGATCTTCTTAATGTTGTACCAATGGTTCCTTGTGGTTCAACTAGTTGTTCAGGAGCTTGTTGTAATTCCTGAACTGCTTGATCTATTAGAATACTATCAACAACTTGTAGAATTTCAATGTTTGGTTGTTCAGCATTAGTTTGTACTTGAGGAGTGCTATGAATTATAACCAATCTATCATTTGATGTGGAAGGTTGAGATTTTGTATGATCATGTGCAGAAACTATGTTCCTAAAATGATCGCTCCCACAAATCACATCATCCTCAAGAAATTTAGCGTTTCTTGATTCTACAATCCTAATTGTGTGAAATGGACAATAGAACCTCTGACCTTTGGATTTTTCGGCATATGCAATGAAATACCCACTAATAGTCCTCGGGTCCAATTTCTTCTCTTGTGGATTATATATCCTAATTTCAGACGGACATCCCCAAATGCGCATATGTCGTAAACTCGGCTTTCAACATTTTCATAATTCAAATGGTGTCTTTTGGACAACCTTGGTTGGAACTCGATTTAATATATATACAGCCGTCTTTAGTGCTTCAGTCCACAAGAACTTAGGAAGATTGGAGTTGCTAAGCATACTCCGCACCATATCTAATAATGTTCGGTTTCTTCTTTCTACAACACCATTCTGGTCTAGAGAACCAGGCATAGTATATTGGACAATAATCCCATGTTCTTGAAGAAACGTAGCAAAAGGATCAGGTGCTTGTCCATTTTCAGTATATCTACCATAATATTCTCCATCTCTACCTGATCTCACAATTTTAATTTGCTTATCACATTGGTTCTCAACTTCAGCCTTAAATACTTTGAAGATATCCAGTGCTTCATTTTTGTTATGAAGCAAATATATATACATATATAGTGAGCAATCTTCTATAAAGGAGATGAAGTATTTCTGACCATGTATGTCCATGTCTGGACAACATATATCAGTATGAATTATCTCTAATAAGTCTGAACTCCTATTAGCACCCTTTTTGGACTTATTGGTATGCTTTTCTTTAATACAGTCCACACATGTCTTAAAATTAGTAAAATCAAGAGTACTAAGTACCCCATCTTTAACTAATCTTTTAATTCTCTCTACGGAGATATGTCCTAATCTCCGATGCCATAATATAGAGGAGTCCTCATTAATATTACACATCTTAATGCCAACGTGAACATGCATTGAACTTTGAGTATTATCATTTTGTAATAAAATACGGTAAAGACCATATGACAAAATACCATTCCCAATACAATCATAATTATATAATAAACAAAATGATGTATCTTTAAAATTAAAGGAATACCCAAATGGTACGAGTTTGGAAACAAAAATTAAGTTTTGTTAGAAACTTGGTACATAAAAGGTTCTTTTCAATTTTTAAACAAAACCACTACTTAAAATTAAAATGCATGTTCCAATTGTCTCCATATGTGAGCCCATCTTATTTTCTGATAAGATGCTTTGCTCACTTCTCACTGGCTTCCTTAGGTTTTGCATATCCTATAAAGAGTTTGCAATATGGATTGTTGATCCAGAGTCAATCCACTAGGTGTTAATATTAACATTGACCATATTAGATTCATAACACATAAACGAGGTTAGTTTACCTTTCTTTTCAAGCTATTGTTGAAATTTTATACATTCTTCTTCATGTGTCACTTTCTTTTACAAAAGAAACATCTTGCTTCTTTCCTAATATCAGCTTGGGGCGGTATTTTACCTTTTCCCTACTGATGACCTTTTTGATTGGCTTGATGTTTGTCAGTTTTGTTCTTCCCACGAGTGGTTACTACCAATGCACTCTCACCCAATTCCATCACTAGCCTCTCTTCTTCTTGAACACACATGGTCATTAATTTATTGATTGACCATTTGTCTTTATGTGTATTGTATGAAATTTTAAAAGGACTATATTAAGGTGGAAGGGTGTTCAGAATATAGTGCACCAGGAAGGATTTTGACATATTAACCTCGAGTTTCTTAAGTTGAGCCGCAGTATCTCGCATTTCCATTATGTGCTCACGCACACCCTTTATGTTGGTGAGTCTAAGGGATGAGAATTCATTATTAGGGTACTTTCTAGTGTCTTATCCGAAGTGACGAATTGTTCGTCGATAGCTTTTAGCAAGTCTCGGACATTTTCATGCTGGTCAACAGAACCACGTATGCCAGCAGTCATCTTAGTTTTAATAAACATCACGTTGAACCGATTGGATCGCTCCCATCGCTCATATAACGCGATCTCAGTTGGAGTGCTGGTATTAGTGACTATAGGTGGTTCGTCTTTTCTTATAGTATAATCGATATCCATGCACCCTAAATGGAAGAGAACCCTCTCCTTCTATATCTTATAGTTATCACCATTAAGTTCAGAAATATCACATCGAATATCAGAAAAATTAACAGTTTAAGAAACTGCATAAAATCAAACATGCTTATGTCAAAATTTGAAGTTTAATAGACTAAATTACATGTTTTACCAATGTGAAACATGCCAAAATATATGAATCTCATGACATAAAAATTGCTTGTGGGCTGAATTCTTAATTCAAATAGATTCAAATGGTCTTTATGATAAAACTATCAAATTATATTCTAATTCATAATCCCTGTGGGTAAATTATGAAAATAATCTGATATTTTATCCTGATTAATTATACTAAATATAATAAAAGACCCTGTGGGCTAATAATTATTATATGAAATATAATCAATCACAATATGTTGTCTAATTACTTATGTGATCCTTATTTTAACTTTATATATAATTTTAATTAATTAAGGATGTTGTGGCTAATTCTTAATAAATTAAGATTATATGGATCACTAGACATTTCAAACATAAAAAATTTGCTCATAAGTATAATTTTATATAACTAAATATGCATACATAATATGAGCATTTTACTCACTAAAATGTTGAAAATGATTTTTTCTCATAATTTTTAATAAAATATATCAAGAAGTTTCCAAGAAGAAACCAAAATTAAATCATTTTTATGGCATAAAAATGAAAACTATTTATCAAGCAGAGGTCAAAAGGCTCTGATACCAAATGTAAGAAAACCAAAGAAACCAATTTGTGTTTCTAAATTATTACAGTAGAAACACAATAAAAACTAATGCAGAAATGAAATAGCGTACCTCCAGCTATTGTTGTCAAAAATTTCTACAGAGGTTTCTTCTTGAACTTTGTACTTCTTGACTCAGAACTCTCGCTTTAGATGGTGTAGGAAAGCCTTTTTGCTTCAAAGAGATGATTGAGCCCAGGGACCAAAATTCTCATATATATATATAGATGTTCTCCGTTCAGAACATTTATCATCATCAATTCATAACGTTCAAGAATTAATTCAAATTTGTAACATTTGAACCATAATAAAGAATTTTAATGATATTAAATATTTAATTTAATAATAATGGTTTCATGTATAATGAATAAAAAATTAAAATTATTTAAACCATAATAAATAAAAAAATTATGATAATAAACGATTATATTATTATTAAATAAGATATTTAATAATAACGGTTACCTCCACTACTCGTTTCAATGTTAGTGTAGTGGGACACTGCACCGTGGCAGTCTGGTCCTACCGGTAAGCAACTTTGTCCGTCTGTGGTAAATCTGTGGTGCTGCTGTTCTTTTTGAAGTAGACGACGACCAAGTAAGTCTTCTTCCTCCTTGCTTTCACTTCTTCCCCTCGTTATGTAAAAACACTTTTTATCAGTGTCACGTGATCCAGATGATCCACCACCCACCTGAAAGGCAGAGCCAAATGTAGCTGCCATGTCAAGTTGCACGTACAGTCCAATAAATAAGGTCTCTGTTTCCTTCCCTCCTGCCTCATTTTGACATCAGATCATCATCACCTTCGGATGCTGCAACATTTGCTTGCAACCTTTCAGTTTCCCTTTATCGGGTTAGGCAAAGCACTGATGTGATCCTAACTAAGGTTTTGAGGTTAGTGGTACTCGATGGTAACCAAAGGGGAACAAGAAAAAAAGAAAAGAAAAGAAAAATCGCTGGGTCTCGCCCCTCTTGCCTTTGCGGCAGTCGATGAGGAGGTTCTGACCGACCACAGATAGAAGGCTTCCCCGGACAGCCCATTCGGAACTCTATGTTCGTGTCGCAGCGAAGGGATCCGTGGGCATGGCCGGAACAAATGTGATTCGAGTGATACTAATTCAAATGTAATGTTGCAGAAAGAAAGATTGCGCTCTACTTCGATAAATGTAGCCTAAAACTCTAATATGTCAATCTCTTTGGAGTCGGGTGCGTTTAGAAATATGCAATGTGGGTCTAATGTATAATAATTTCAGAAAAATTTCAAATTATATGATACTATCCAAAAACACAAGATTGTCAACATGATTTATGTGTTCTATAAGATGAAATTTATTTTCTTTCTTATTTTAATTTTTTAATATTTATTTATATGATTATATTTTATATTTATGATATAAAATTTCTTCTTTTTTATAAGATTATATATATAATTTATTAATTTAAATTATATATGTATATTTATTTTTTAAGAAATACTAAAAATATTTTAGAAAGAGTAAGTTTGTTATATAATATTTAAAATATAATTTTACAAAATAAAACTTACGTCAATACATATTTAAATATAATTTTCATCTACTGTTTGTTACAATATTTAATGTATTAAGAAAAACTACACATTCATTCAAATATGTTTCTTCACATGTACATTAAAAATTACCAATGTGTTTCCAATCGCAATCGAGGAGATGATCATTTTTGCGGATGTTACAATCATGATGATGCTTAGGTCTGATTGCACCACATACATATATATAGCTTAGGTTTGTTCCCCTACCTCCGGCTTTATGATTCACGATCGCCTTCGTCCCGAGCTGGCCACGATGGCGATGAAGAAGTTGACAAGTCCAGATGAACAATTACTTCCCATCAGTAGCATCAACCATCTATCGTAGCAGTGTGTCCAGAACCAACTATTGCCTTGCCTTGTTGACACACACAAGAGGGGTGAAATTTTTACGGTGCTGGAGCAAATGTCGCATTGGGCAATGCTCATATGGATCCATCCCACGGCATCGATGCTCATGACATGATAACCAAGCAATTTTTGACCGGCAGGCAATCTTCCTGATCAAGATTGGTCCAGAATCCAACTCGCTTATTTACATGATGTGTGTCTGCTAAATACCAAGCGTTGAACCACACACTCAGTTCTCTGCTTGTAGCGGCAAGGTAGCGTCGAGTTAAACACGGAACACACGGACAGATGTTGTCGCACTGCCACTAGCTGCAAAGCACCATCCAGTTCCACACCAGATGCACACAGATGTCGTTGCAACTGATGCCTGCTTCTATTGCCAGTAAAGAAATTTCTTGCACTGATATTGATGACATCGATCGTATCTCGTGCATCAAAGACAACAAGGTGGTACGATACGGAATCCTGGTTCAACAACCTGTGTTGTGCCAAAATCTGCTCGTCTGGAGTGGAGGGCAGCAGGACCAGACAAACTACTATCCACAAGTGAAACGGATCACAACACGGATTCCACCACTGCTGTCACGGCCGAGGGACCACCTAGCTCAAGGAGCGATAGAGCCATATCAAACTCTTGCCAACCCCTGAGACCGCTGGCCAATTTATGCAAAGCCTCCTGCTTTGCCTCCAGCACCCATGCTGGTGCAAAGTTCACCAGCAAGCCCACAAAGCATGACACGTACGCCTTCCATATTGCTGGATCACACCCAAGAATTATATTGCCCTCCATGGCACCAGCTACGAAGTCCATGTGGATCCCAATCACCCGGGCTCGCATCGACGAGAACACTGATGTGTACGCTGGGGATGTATTTCCAACTCCCCAAACAAAAGCCCCACATATGATCAGCATGTAGGCCATAACGTAGCCTTGCAGGATATTGGATACTGTCTCAGTTCCACCTAGCTTCTCTGCTCCGGCTGATAACAGCAGCGTCGGCAAGGTCTCCTCATACATTATCTGCACAAACTGCACCCCGCCCGCAACAAACAGTAGGCTTGCCCCCAGTGTTGCCACATGTTGTACTCCCGATATAGCAGAGACAAGAGATATGCGGCTTGATTTCAGGCGGGTAGGTCCATTGGAGCTCCATTTGGTTCCTAATTTGTGTGCCCACTCAATGACCAGCTTGAAAATCACCTTGTTGACAAAATGAATGTCAGGAAAGTTTCGACATGTTCGGAGGTAGAGGAAACCTGGTGCCACTGGGAGCCGAACACCCTGGTCAGACATATATCGACCCAGAAGTCCATTAACTCCTCGATCGGCTGTCATGTGAGATCCTCCAGCAACTGAGGGACCTAAAAATGAGGAGAAGCAGCTCCTAATCAGCTGCACAACAGCATCCTTCTCCCTCGAGAAGGGAGAACGTGAGCAGGATAGGACAATGAAATCATGCCACCTTCGCACCTTCTGAGTCCACAAGGCTCCTATGATTGGCATGCTTGGCCAGGTGCAGCCTGTTGCACAGTTCTCAAGAGCCTGACCAACAACTCCATGGATGTACTCTGAACTCTTCTCGAGCTTAAATGTTATCGTCAAGCTTACGAGAGCAGCCATTGGTAGTGGGAGCATTGGTGGCAACCCTCCTGCCAGAAATGGTCAAATTAGTACTGCCTAGCATTCAACACAAACGTTTATATAAGTAGCTCCTCATTCAATACATTAAATCAAATCATATGATGTAAGCTTATGAATGCATAATGAGACACCTAGTCTCCAGCTTCCTACGTACAGCGTGGTTAGATAAGAGGAAACAAAAGAATAGGCATAAACGACATTGATAGGAACATATATATATATATATATATATATATATATATATATATATATATATATATATATATATATATATATATATACATACATAAATATATATATATATCAAGATTCTAAATACTGGTCTGATAGGGATAACATATAATATACCCATCTGAACCACAGGGTATTATTGAATACAATAATTAAACAATAATTAAAGAAACAAGATAATCTTTCTAGCAGCACAGTGATTTAAAAAGCGCTAGGCTCCAAAAGGCGCCAAGGTCCCAAAAAAACGGCCCGAGGGCGCTAGGCGCT